TACATGTATTTTATGTAGCACTATATATTTCTCGAATCAATGTATAGTATAGGCCTATATTGCGTATTCATGTTCTAATGAATATGATATAGATTAAGGATTGATAAGCTATTCAAAATCTAAATTTATTTATTTCCAAAACTAGACATAAATCATTCAAACGAACATTGAAAGAACTGCCCTCACCTTACAACCCCGTACACGATTGCATCCTTTGCTCTACTTTTCAATATCAATTGCTATTTTTATTAATGCACGAATTAAATCGCTAAATGTCAGTATCAGTAACATAGTTTTTGAATATTTTAACAATTTTGAATCATAAACTGGTACTTTGGTACACGGTGGAGTACCTAGAGGCCACCGCACACCGTTAAAAACTGTTGCTTTACTTTTAAAATCCATTGTTATTTTAACTCATAACCAAACATCAACCAATTTCAAGTACCAATAACAGAATTGTGTGCTTATTTAACCAAATTTCGCACCAGAAAGTGTTACAAAGTGGTACATACCAAACAGCGGTGTGCGAGTGTCGGGCGCGGCGCGGGCAGGGCAGGGTAGGACCCTCCTTCCACTGCAGAACGGCGGTCACTAAGACTCTATCTGCCAACTCTGAGGTCGCAGACGCAGATAAGTCCACGGCCAGCCACTTCTCAAGGTCAATTACACATTTTGACAGCACATTGTTGTCAGTGCGTTACCGTCCGTGTGATAATTGAGATCAGCTGATCGACAACACTTCCGCGCGTCAGTGGTCAGTTTCCGCGGGAAATGTGACAGCTGTTGGGGTCAACGTTATGAATTGGTATGGCCATGATGGAATGATTAACTTCTGTAATAAATTTACTGATGAGAATGTGTTATGAGTATGTTTGCTAAACTATATAATTTACAAAGATTTGAAATAAATGAAAATACTGTAATACATATTATATGTTTTAACGTAGTCCTGATAATTTAAAGGGGAAAAGTGTAAATCACTTGTTTATCCAGCCACGAATACATCTCCCGAGATTAAAAGCCAATATTTTTCACGAGTACAGGGTTTTGTAGCTTAAGTACTTTTAATTTAATTACAATATTGTGGATTTTTTTTTAACACATAGTGAACGATTCATAGTAAAAATTTAATGAGTAAACAGACAAATTTGCAAAACAAATTGTATATTTAACATAGGCCTACTAAACTTATTTGCGATTTAAAAAAATAATTAAGCGTGTAGATTAAAACTCAGTCTAATTTCAATCTCTAAACATATCTAATATTATTTTACTGCTATCCGGTTATTCATTTCCTGTTACTATACACAAAGCCTATCGATCGGATAAATCTACTTCCTTAACCATTGAAACGTATTCATACAAAAAAAACTTTAATCACTGCGTCAATCTTAGATATTAACACAGAAACGGTGCAATAGTACCATGTATAATAAACTGTCATACTAAACCCTGTTAGTGTTAGACAATATTGTGTTGTTGATACTTCTCCTCCAAGCAACAATGTACCCCAAAGCAAGTTTCCTTAGTTAATAGCTCAGTTACAGTGAATTATTTTCACTTAGTGTTTACCGCGCTGTTACACTGCAGCAATTAGAGCACGCCATCAGCTCAATTGTGAGAATAATTACACTATAATGCGTGAATCTCCGTGAAGTTTAACAGACATTAACGCAAAGTGTGAGATCGTGGGAGGTGTGGAATTATAGTAAATATCACTACGATTATCTCAAAACGAAAGTAAAGCTAATAAGGACCAAGATGGAAAGAAACTTATTCCACTAATTACAATATCAAAAATTAGAGCTGTAAACATAAACGTGTAGTGAGTTAAAAACACAGAGAACGATCTCCTTACCAGAGAGATTTTCTGTTTATTCTAGATAGGTAGGTTCCGAACCATTGGGCTGAGACTTAGACGTTATCGATGTAGGATATTAGCACGGGCTCTAGGACAGAAGTCAATGATAAAAACACCGTGAGCCATCCGATCTCAAGTACCACAATTTTAGTAAAAAAAAACATGCTACAGAAAATTAATAATAGCCTAGGTAAACATATTTTTCTAGCGGGTATTATTTTGACTTTAGTATACGTATGGATATTTTTTGATATGGGCTATTTATTTACTGCCTTTATTCTAAAATAATTTGTTAAATCCTCGTTTAAGCCGTTTCTATGCCGCTTTAGCCTGTATTTGCGCAACCCACTTTATTTAAACATTTCAAACGTTATTAAGTACACTGCTTTGTCCACAGGGGTAAAACAAACTAATTACAGGCATTTGTGGAGAATGTATAAGAAATGTTTTCGTAGTTTTATTTGTCTAAGAACATTGTATCTTAAGTTACTTATATTTGCCAAACGTTTGCATGCAAAGAACAACTTAGTATCTGATGGCTAAATAAAACCATTTTTTATTTACATGTTTATTAAAACGTGCTGTCGGAACAATATATAAGAAATTAGAAAAAAATACATAGACGATAATAACTTTTAATAAATAAATGGGACAAGTACCACCAATCCTGAAAATCCAAAATAATCTTTAGGGTTTTAAAATAAGATATTACAGTTCTTCCTCACTGGAAAATATCCAAACATAATTCATGTAAATTTAGCCCTTACGCGACGCCAAATTTGCATTACATAAAATTCTGCCCAAGTTTCCTCCTCCTGATTCCAGTTTCCAATTTATTACCTATCTGTTTTATCCTTTTGTAATGAAGAAGTGTAACAATATATATATAGCAGGAAATTACGGGCAACTTATAAAACCAGTCTACCTTGCTTGTGGACGTTGTCTCTAAGTGAACTGTTTATTTGTACTCTATGCAGGTGGCGTTTATACAAGTAATAGGGTGGTGGTGGTACGTATGTAACACCTACTTAATGTTACTGTTTAACGATGTCGAGAACTAATTTGCTGTACGTGTTTTTTAAAAAATTAACAATTTGTCGTAGATGAGTACCTTTAACTAGTTTATGAAAGTAAAAACAAATCTAATGTGGAACCAAGATTTTAGAATTTACTACGTATTTACTACGTATTTACTTGGTACGATACTAGTTTTCAATTAGAATTATATTAACTAATCAATATATTTGGAATGAAAAATGCAATAACCGTTTGTTTAGAAGGAACATTAATTTTATATGTTATTTATTAGTACTTTAAATAGTTTTTATACTAAATTATAAACTATTTTGCACATTGTAGCCTATAATATTTTTATAAATAATAAGTAATGTTTCATTCTCATTAAAATAACATTTCAGAGTACAAAAGCAGTGAACCAGGGATTAAATTAATAGGATAAAATCCAAAATTGGATGAAAAGTAAATTAATACGGTATTTATCCTTTCAATAAATTTAAAATTTAAAATGGGATTGTATTCTTAAGGTTTCGTGGAACTTTTTTGTAAATTTTGGCATACATTCAGTTTATGACATTTTACGATTGTGGAGTCCCGATAATCCGAACTTCGGTAATCCGAAAGTCCGCTTGATCCGAAACCAAAAAATAAATTTTAAAAAATTTTTTTGAATTTTTTTTAAAAATTTTTTGAAAATTTTTTGATTTTTTTTAACTTTTGAAATTTTTTTGAAAACTTTTGAAATTTGTTTTAAAACTTTTGAAAATTTTTTGAAAACTTTTGAAATTTTTTTGAAAACTTTTGAAATTTTTTTGAAATTATTTAGGAATTTTTTTTAAATTTTTGTTTATTAAACTTTTAACACAGTTAGCTGTACCTCGTCAAAGTATTCTGTAGCGGCCGGGCAAGATAGACTTTTTTGTTGAGTATTTTAGTAAATATTTCACAATTTTTGTTATTAACATTTTTTATTTTCGTCCAGGGTTCCAATCCCCCCAAATCACAAATGGATTTTATGAAGTGATAATGCTGCAGCCACTAGGTCTAAGTAATCTAAAAAACAATCCCAAAAAATTTCAAAAAATAAAAAAAAATTTCAAAAAAGTAAAAAAATTTTGTAAAAATTTTAAAAAAGTAAAAAAAAAACAAAAAAAAACGTTTAATCCGAAATATTCGGTAATCCGAAATGGGCCCGGTCCCAACCATTTCGGACTAAAGGGACTCTACTGATTAACGATCACATCAATAACAGGTTTTAGATTTTCACTCAATAAAAAATATAAATATTTTTGTATACAACTGCAAAGATAAAGATACTTAAACCCATCGCCGCTATAAAAATATATAGTTAACTTCATACTCTAAGTACTATTGGATTATCAAGCGGATCCGTAACCAACCGACAACAATTGCAAAATCGGTATGAAATTATGACCAAGTGTATGATGGGAGATTTCACGCCCGCCAAAACAAACTGTGAAGGACTTGGCGGCAAAAACAACACAGAGGTCCCTCGTGAGGATATTATGTTACACCTTCACTATTATATGAATTGAGTTCTATGTTGTCATCTTCTGTTTTACACCATTCACTGACATGCCTATGTTGTTTGTTGTACATAAACTGTTTATGGATGCCGAAGCGACTGAGGTAAAACTATCTGTTGTTTTTGTTTTCCTAGATACTTGAGTTAATTATACTTTTAGTAAATTCCAGATGTGTTTACATTTATTGGCTTGATTAACACGATATATATTTTCATTCGTTAGAAATATGGTCCAAAATAGAATAATACATAGATTTGGTCTTAATGTGCTTCGATTTAAACACGATTGAACTTTGTAATGAGAAAAAATAACTGCCAAGGTTTGACGCAAACACCAATGTAACCAAATAAAAGTTAGCATTTCCAGATAAAATAGATAACCAGATAAAATAGAGCTATAGCCTAGTATAAAATCTGATACAGATAGAGGTTCTGGCTGTTATAGTATTTATAGTGCAAAACGTATGCCATGAGAGGGATTTCTAATATACGATCGATCTCCAAAGGCAATTTGATATACAATAAAATAAACCATTAAAAAAATGCGCTGAATACCTAAAACACAACGTTTACCTTAGAATATTTTCTCTCAGCTGTTCCAATTCCAGTTAGACACACACTCCCACGTCACAAAACCCACTCGTTCCCGCAATCTAGAACTGCACTTCACTAACCGTAAGCGACGTGCATAGTTGTTGCACTCTTATCTGTGCATATGTGTCAATGTCTCCCTGACGATAGGGAGTTGTACCGCACGAGTTACCGCATAACCACAGCACCACAGCACCACAACCACAACCACAGGACAGCAGGGGACAACTGTTAATGCAAGTGAAGGAGGTAGGGCGACATTCACAAAGTGAATGTTAAGCTTGATTTGACAAGGTCACTTGAAGTGGCGATTTGTGTTGGTTATGTTGTATGTGTTTGTTTGACTCTATTTCACCCACGTAATTGGATTTTTCCATTCAAGGGGCGCCGGTCTGAAACACAGCTGATCAACTGTAACAGCTTTCATGTTTTGGATTGTAGACGTTTTAAATAATTACTGCTGAAGATTTTAGGATAAAAACTTTCATAATAAGAATAAGTAGAAAGATAAGGCGAAAGGTTTACTAAACCGCATTGACTTAAAGTATAAAGGTAACGTGCCGTATTCTTCAGTCTTATTGAGCAGCACGGATATTAAAACAGAAAACGCGCTTAAAAATAAAAAATATATAAACAACTGTCGTCACTGGCCCAAAAATAAACAAATTCGTATTAATACAGCCTTCAAAAAAGTTCAAATTACGACTATATGTTATGGTTATTAGTATATATTCGGGCCAGTGACGACATATGTTTATGTTTATGATCCATACAGTTTTCTGTTCTAATATCAGTGTTGAGTAGTCAATTGATAGATCCATTGATGTGTTGTTTCGAGTCATATGATCTTTATCAAATCTAAAATGAAATTTAGAGAAAGTTTACGGTATAAGTGTGACGCCTTCTTCATCATACACAAATTGAAACAGCATGATGAACACAAAAACGCATTTAGAAAATATTTAAGACACTGGACCGGGCACAAGTAAATTTGAAATAAAACTATTCTGGTCGTACAGCGGACGCGATGCTAGTCTTAGTGCAAAATTTATTAATTTGTTTTTACATCTTATTTTTGTTTTCATTTGTAAGCAATGGATAGCATACACTAGAAACAGCTTACAACCAGGCAGGTAACCAACTGGACGAAAACGCAAGTGTCAAGGAGAAGATCCCGGAGTCGTCTGTACAGAGACAGGCGTGGCAGGGAAAGCAAGTTGACAAAGCCGACATACTCAACAACTCCTACTGTCTCTTTCACAATTTGTTGGCTTAAACCACAATATATCAGGTATTTATGACAATTCAATACATATACTGTAGTTTGAAAGTAAATTTATCTGAAATATTTAAGGAATCGCGTGATTATGGGTGCAAATAAATATTACATTTACTCATGGCAAATCAAAAATTAAAATCTGGTATTTTAAAATACGTAGAAAATGTAACTGCAATTACTATAACAAACGCAATGTTTTAAAATTTTAGTAAAACTTTTGATATCTGTTAATACATCTGATCTAGTTCGTGGACCAATGTTTATATTCAAATAAATATGTATCTTTAGACTCAAATTTAGCTAAGATCCTTATAATTCATGTAGATAGCAAAACTATCCTAGTTAATCTTGCAATGCAAGATTTTTTTCGGTCGTTTTAATGAGAATATAACAGTTTATTCGATCCAAATAAAAAATCTAGAAAGAAGTGTTTAGAATATACAGCAAATAAAAAGCCTTTTGTGAAAAGAGGAGGGTGTACCCTTCATAGTGAATTACAGTCTAAATCACCATATTGCTCCAAAATAATGTAAAAACCCAACTAAACTTTCGTTACAAGAGGACGTAAACATTTCAATAACTCTACTTTAGTAGATAAAGTTTTTTCTTTACGAATTTCTCTAGTTGGTATGAAATTTGAATTATACTCCACTTCCTCCACTTCCTCTACCTTTCCACGAGCTCTAAAGCCCCTAGGCTAATTTTATTTAGCTGCAAGTAACTTTTAAATACAACCCAATTTTCTTGTGTCCCAAGACCTCACAGGCAATTTCGTCTATCAACTTAAAATTCTATGCCAGATTTTCTCATGTCCTAAGAGCTCACAGTCTAATTTGATCTAAATGGCATCAACGTTGACTTTCCCCCAATCCCTGGTATTATAGGACCTCCTACTGACCATGTGGGGTCAGGAGCTGCGGAGGACGATACTGCGGTGGTTACGATATTCAGAGGTCAGACCTTGCACAATGCAATCACAATCTGCACTGCAGATATCAGCAAAGTTCAAGAGAATCGGTGTCTTCAGAGGATCTCGTGAGATATTGCACAACGACATCCTGTGGAACGGATTGAACTGTTGAAAGGCAGTTTTTAATTAGCTAATTTTGATGCTGAAGTGTAGGGTATTAATTTATAGACAGGCTGTTGAAACTAGGGTAATTAATGTTGAGAAACCGAGATATACTATTTGTAACTATAGCATTCAAAAGTAATTACTGTAACATCTTCTCCACAACTCTGGAATCATTTGCCGTGGTAGTTTTTTTTATATTGAAAAATTCAACGAAATTTATATTTTTAATCATTGGTTTGAATGTTTTACTTAAAATGTTTTTAAAGGTCTTTGGCGTGAAAGAGCGTGGTTATTATGGATGAAAATAATATCGTTATTTTTGGTTGAAAAATATAACGATTTGGGTTGAATCGTTTTTGTGAGCCATAAATTGTGGTGACATAACGCCATTCTTGTCTCCTGCTTCATGAAGGACGTTAAGACATTGAGGTAGATGATGCTTTAAGAAACAACATTTTACATATTCATAAAGGGACCTTTTTGCAAACCTTCGGTGTCATAAACATCTCTGGAATTACCTCATACATTTACGAAACGGTCGATTCGGGTTGATTCCAAATGCGACCAATAAACTTAAACCCCACAAAGCAACGGGGACAAGGAAATCTTTTGTCTTGTTTGAAAGGCTGGAAACGAGCTACGTTTCATCGTAAGGTCACGATTGGTGAGTTTCGACCGTTTAACAGTGGAAAGAACCAACTGCTAGAGACCTACAGTGACCCACTACCACAACTGCTTGTAGACGAGTGCCCAAGACAAGCCTTACAATACACTTTTTGTCTAGTTTCACCGTATTAGAATAATTAATTCCTAAATGGTATATTTTGAAAGCTGTACCTGCCCAGAAAGCCACTAGAAAGCCGGTCAAGATGGATCCACAGTTTGCGAAGTGGCGGATCGGGGGCAGAGTACAGTCACTTCAACATGAGCGATTTGCGAATATGTACAGTCCGATGGAAAAGTGGTCTCCCGCCCCCTAATCACGATGATTAGCGACTCTTCTGGACTGTATTTTGTTTGGGAGCATCAGAGTGGGTAAGATTGAATACCATTAATGTATCGCCTTCAGTTTAATTGTAACGACAAAATCTGGGACTAAATCGTGTTACGTTAGCTAAACGAGCGTTGATGATGAAATAAAAACGATAATCATAAAATCAATTAAATTTAATTGGGCTAGACTGGCTAAAGAACTTTAATGCAAAAAAGTTATGTTGTCTAATTGAATAATACGACTGGTAATTTGGATACTTATTGTGACAGTAATATAGTATAATCAAAAGAATTCATGAATTTAGGCGTGTAAAATATCCTGTACCGGTTAGTGAAACCGATGCACTGTTTCAAAGTTATAAATTCTTCTTTTAAGTGCTATAAAATATAAAAAGGAATCTCTTCTACTCGGTGACCGCTCACCACTCTGTTTAGGTAGTCAACAGCAAGAACAGAGAATTGCTTTAAATATTGTCCAAATCTACGAGAGAGTTGCGGCATACATCTTGAGCTGTACCCCCTTTACTCCATACATCTTGAGCTGTACCAGAGACCCCGTTATCTTTTTAATTGCAGGCTGTCTAATCGAGAATGTGCAAATCACATCGTGCAATATAACCAGCGACCAGAAACTTTCAGCTAGAGGTGTTAAACTGGGAACTAAAGACCAACAACTTGAAACTAGAAATATTCAACTGGGAACTAGAGACCTAAAACTTGGAATAAGAATTTTTTAACTGGGAACTAGAGACCTACAACTTGGAAATAGAAATATTTAACTGGGAACTAGAGACCTACAAGATGGGAATAGAAATATTTAACTAGGAACTAGAGACCTACAATTTGGAAATAGAAATATTCAACTGGGAACTAGAGACTTGTAAGTGAGAACTACAAACGTTAAACTAGGGACTAAGTTAAGGGACTAAGTAAGTAGTTAGGGACTAAGTAAGCAGCTGAGATATACAACTAAAGATCTACAAGTGGGAATTAGAGACATGCAACTGCATACTAGAAACTTGCAAATTGGAGCTAGAGACCTGCAAATTGAAACTAGAGACCCTCAACTTAGAACTAAAACCCTGCAACTGGATTCTGATGACCGTTCTTCCAGCAACTAAACCACCATATAGTCATTCCTAATACATATGAACCCAAAACTAAAAATGGCCGCCAGTTAAACAGTTTGAAGTGCAAGGAATAATTATAACAAATGGTTTATGAACAACTACTTTTGATAAGGGGGTCCTTTAGAGGTTCTGTGGAAAATATAACTCAAGTGGTGTGAAGGTTCGATACGCGAATCTGCCACACAATGACACCAATGACATGTTAAGTACATCGTGACCACTCGAATACGGCTTGGCGTTTCTCATTGTAATGATGGCTGGAATGCAACGCTTGTATCGAAGTAATATAGAGCCCTCTTAATAGCACTGACCTTCGAATAAGTGATGATGGAATTTAATATTATTGTTGTCTATTTACATTTGAAATTAGTCTATTGTTTATCGACAATACTTGTACAGTAGCTGGATATAGAGACTGTCATGAACAAATTTTTTTGTAAGCCCTTCACGGTCGTTGCGATCGCCGTCGAGAAAGTGCAAGATAAGATAGGAATGTCCGGGAAGCGGAATCAGAGCTACACAGAGTAATTGCAGAAGGACGTCCATAGAGTAAGTAGTATAATAACGACAATCCTTTCACTTGATCGACGAGTGTTGAATTTTTTCTACTGTTCTTTCTATAATTATGAATATTTAGTTCGATTCAGTAAGCTCCAATCTCTGAGTCTGTAATACGATCTGATTACGTAACAATTTCATATATGGTGCAATTAAATACTAAACTTTGTG